TCACAGGGTGATCTTAGTGGTTAAACAGTCATGTTGCAGTAGACTCGAAACTAACACCTCTGAGAATTGTGAAAACCAGTTAAGTGTGAAGGGTCCTGTCCTGAAAAGCTCAGCACATGGTTTCCTGAATGCTCAGAGACTATCCACACAAGATCTTGAACATTGTATTTATTAAGGAAGACAAAAAAGGCTTATAAAAACATACAAATACAGTTCGTAGTTGGAGATGGTGGTGGTAAAGATTATTGTAAGAATGGACTTTCTGGTCTGGAGTTCGCATTCTTCGGATGATGGAGAATGATGCTGAGAATTCAAAAGACAACCACAGAACTGAGCCACAGGCTAGAAAGTGTGATGCTTGCAAATTTCTCATTGCAGAAGAGATGAGTGAAAGGCAGGTTCTCTTTTTTTCTTCCATTTCTTTTTTCCCTTGGCCAGGGAAACCCCTGGAGCTTGCATCTTTCCAGGTTTTATTGCCCAAAGTAGCTACCTTAGAAGTGTTTGCTCCTTCTGCAGCCCAATTTTTGATGACAAATCATCCAGTTTCTGTGGGTCATCCCAGTTCTGTGAGTCTTTTCCCGAGTGCAGGCCTGCCAACCCCTTGCCCTCCTTGTGCGATGTGCTAAGTCAGCCCAATGTGGTCTGGACAGGACTTCGTGATCAGATGCAGAGGCCTCAAACCAATCCCTCCAAAAAACCAAAAAATTAAATTAAAACCCAGTGTGTGGGTCATATCCTACCCACACTACCAATATTTCAGGAGTTGCCTCAGCTGCCTCTGGTGGCAGTGTGTCAGAGAGCATTGGCACTACCAGAATTGAGCCTCTCTTTACTTTAGTAGGTGGACCAAGAAAGCATGAGCAATGTTTGTGATGTACCTCTCCACTTTTATCTGTGGGTTCTGTTTGCTGAGTGAGCACTTGGCACCTTTACTATGCCATGAAGATTACCTAAGAAAAAACAACAAATTCTGGAATATTAATTTCACGTGTCTCCAAGTTGGTAGTTATTTTGTCTTCAGATGATTTGGTGAGGGATCCACAACCTAAAAAGTGTGCCTTAATGGGCTTAAACAAGCTACAGCACTTACTGGTAGGAAAATTATAACTCTATGGCTTTGCAAGTGAGAAAAACGGACAATTTTAAGGGAACTTGTCATTTAAATAAAAGGCTTGGAGCTATTTTGGGGTTTGAGATTAATTTCAGTTCCTAATGAATGTTAGTGTTGGTTACTAACTTCCTGGTCAATTCGGTGTGTTTGCACATTGTTAAATAAATACTGCATGTGCAAATGATGACTTCCTACTTTTGAGTCTTCAGCAGATCTTTGTCTTTAATATGGTCAGAAGTCACACTATGTAGATGCAGCTACAGCACTGGAATTTCTGCCTGTAATCTTTAAAATGTTGGCCCAAGCTCTTTAACAGTGAGAGATGAAGTTTATGGGCAGGAAGCAGGGAAGACACGCACTGTGCAGTGAAAGTCTGCGTTGCTTCCTCAAAAACTTCTCTGAAAGAACTCGTGTGATGCAATGTCTCTTCCCTTCAGAGAAGGGGAGGAAAGTCCAAAAAGTCCCTCCTGCCTGCCTGTAGGGGTTTTCTTTGCTTTCATTTTAATTTTTGTGTGTAGTGTAGTGATTCACTTTCCCAGTCCCCACTGAGCTGGTGAAGGGCTGGCCTGCTGCACATGACACGCCAGAAGAAGCTGAGGGAGCTGGATCCCTTCAGCCAGGAGAGGCGGCACTCCGGAGAGATCTGATTGCCAGCTATAGCCAACTGTGGCATTTGCAGAAATGGCAAATCTGAAGCTCCCAGTAAAACCACAAAAAACATCTGTCATAAATTGCAGCGGAGGAATCACACCAGGATGTGCAGGAAGAAACTCACATTAAAAGAGGTTAACTGTGGGATAAAATAATCAGTAGCCCTGTGCTGAGGCTGGACTGGATGACCTCCAGAGCCCCCACCCAAGACAGGTGTTCTGAGTCCACAGTGGCTGTTTGGAAAAGACTGAAAACTGTGGCTACAATTGTAAATAGTCTTTAGGTCTAGAGTAACATGAACCACTCCTTTTATTTTTGTGTGACATGCCACACATGAGAGAGAATCACCTTGCCTCTGCCAGTTACTAGAAGTATTCTCTGTATGCTTTGGGTATGCTTTCTTCATCCTCTCACATCCTCATCCAGGCATGTGAGCAAAACCCACCCTCCATCCACTGCAAATATTAGACTCGCTTCTGAAAAGCCAAAGGTCATGCTATAGTAGCAGTTTCAGGGTTACATTTTCTCCTCTTAAGTATGGGAAACAGCTCATTCAAGGGGAAAAAAAAAAAAAAAAAGAGTAACAAGGAGGTGGTTCTTTCAAAGGGGATGAGTCAAGCAGCTTTCAGCAAAAATGTACTTGACTTTTACCTCTGTGTAGCAATAATCTGTCTGAAAGCTGTTTACCCAGCATTGAGGTTCTATTCCAGCAATGGAAAAAATTCTCATACCCATGGTTTTCTTTGTTGAGTCACAAAAATATCAGTTCTACTGTTTCACAATGGTTTGGATCAGAAAGATGCTGCAGGATGAGCTGGTAGCATAACAACTTATGTGGATTCTGCTGGGCTAAGTAATACATTTTAACTTTCCATTTCTTCAGAGTACCCTTAATGTTGTTTATAAAAGTTCTCATATTTTAAATATCATTGCAGTGCGCATCATCCTGTGTTCCTCAATAGTTTACATTTTGAAATGCACTATATACCCTATACACATATTCTGTGAGACTCCAGACGTGTGTGTATGTACCTGTCCGCATGTGTGTGTGTGTGCAGCTGGTCCTTCTTTGACTGCAGTGATTTTTATCACACAAAGCTCTGAAGCAGCAGGACTGGGGCTGATGAGTAGCACGGTGTTAGAGGTTGATAGCCTGCTATTGAAACGGTGGCTGCTTCAATGACAACAGAACTGATGTGAAGAGTTACCCAGTACTGCAGATAAAACGCTATCGGAGGGCGGTGCACAGGAATCCCTGGGTTTCCCCATGTGACAGGCATTTCTTGCCCCGTTTCATCACATTGCACAGCAGTCTTTTCCCAGCAAAACTCACTGGCGCCGGCAGGCTCTGCTTTCCTAGGAGGAACCACCATCCAAAGGAACTTTGACAAAGGTCCACACTTCAGCTCCTGGCAATGGGCTGCTTCCCGGGATATGGGAAGGTGTGTACAATTCAAGTAAACAAATATATGACCTGTGAGTAAACATTGGTGACTTTTCAGTCTAGTGATTGGTTTGTGGAAGTTCCCTATTCCCGTACGTGAGCTCATATAACATGATGAAATACTAGTTGAATTTGGTGTGGGGAACTATTTAAAGATCACTGGATTTTTGAAGATGTGTGGGAAATGGATAGATAAAAAATCTGCAGCCAGAGTTAAACTTTCTGACTTCTGCCTTCATTTTGGTGAGTTTTTTTTCTTAATTTTTTCTCAGTTTTCAATTCCCTTAATTGGTCTGACCAGTTCATCATTCAAAGCTACACAGTTAGCTTTTTACTATATATACTGCAGGTTTGGTGGTAGTATAATGAGGTAAAGGTGATCAGCTGAACTGAGACCCTGTGCCCACCCATCTGACCAAGGTCAGCTTCTTGACTAGATGTTGTTCAGTTTATTCAATATAACTGGTGGCCTTTAAATAAGTTCATTTGAACCAGAACTTGCAGTTTTTTTGACCTGACAAGTCTTCTGTTTCCACGTTTTCCCAAAGTAAAAATGATTTCATGACAATTTTTTGTTTGCAGACAGGTAGTCTTCACATCCATTACTCCTTTTGTGGAAGCTGTTACACAGGGCTGCGCTAATCTTATAAAATCAGCATTTTTCTCCTCTTGCTTATCATCATGAGTTAGCAAAAAGAGAATGCATCCCAACTTTTGCTTTGTTGCACTCGTGCATGAGCAGTGAAGTACCAGTGGGTGTCAGCATCGGGGAGCTTTTGTGGAGGGAAGAGTAGGGGGCAAGGCTAGGCAGTAGCACCACGTTCACCACCAGCAACCGAATTGTCTGCACTTTCCATACATCCCAGGAGCACAAAACTCATCTCCCACCAGGCAGACGTGCATGGGGCATTAAAGCATTGCAAGCACCAAGTGAGATTGTTTTCATGGGGGAGCCCCAGCATCCCCAGCCCTAGCATCAAGCCTGTAGGGATGGACATACTGGGCAGGCAGGATCCAGAGGATAACGCTGGCAAATGCCAATATTTGTGCAGGCAGTGTTGCAGCACACCTACACTAGTTGGGGCATATGATTCCGGGCAGTCTGAAAGTCCAACCCAGAGTGGCACTTTGGCTCTATGGGCTGGGCTCTCCTTCCTAATCCCTGCCTGGATGTTGTCAGTCCTGCAACTTCCCCGGCCTCCCAGCATCTCCCCCGCAGCCAGCATGGAGTGAACGTGCTGCCCAACAGCCAGAAGTGATTTCACAGCCCCTCATTCCTCCAGTGACAGCCCCCTAGATGATGTCCTGCCACCAGCACATCTGCAAACTCCATCTCTTGCTTTTGGCCCAGAGGCAGTCCATCAAACCAGAGCACATCCCATGGGTAGGTCTTTTATATCTTTGGAGCAAAATTTCTTGTGTTCTTCAGCTCTGAGCAACTAGTGAGCTGAAAATAAACAAACAAACAAATATATAAATAAATATTAAAAATCATAGCATGGCAAGCAAGAAAGATTCTGTGACAAATTTATGGGATAAAGCAATATTGGCAGACATCATCTGGGAATTAGTGTCGTAAAAAGAGGACTTTTTTCATAATGGCTTCGTTCATAATTAGTTCCAAACTCGGCATGACCACAGCTGCCAAGAAAGAACAATTGCTTATGTTTCATTTAGAGCTACTCATATGTTTCCCAGCTAAATTAAACCAAAGCCAAACCGGGGAATTTGGAAACCACTGAAAATAAGGGGAACTCTGGAATGGAGTGCTTAACAATTACTTCCTCATAAGACATGCCCAAGAGGAAGAGAGGTGCTTTTCAGTCATGGAGCTGCTCTCCTAAGCATGAGGGGGATCATGCTTTCCTTCCTCTGCTTACTGATGCACCTGCTTCAGGATGAGACAACTTGTAAGTAAGGGCTTTTTGCTCTTTTTCTGTATGGGAAGGGGGCGGGTGGAGAGGACAGGGCTTGTTATTGAATTTTTGGATTAGTTAATAAATCTCTCTATCCTTTGGTCGGTTTCAAAAGCCAGCCACTTTCAAATTAGTTTGTTATTTTATCTTTACAGGTACTGAAATGCAGATAAAATTAATGTGTTGCCCATTAGATTTTTTCATGGCTGTATTACCAGTTTCAGTTCAGCCAGTGCAAATCTTTTCTGATTCTGTGCTATGCCAGAGTAAAAGCTGCTGTCATCTGCGTCACAAAACCTACAAAAACATTAGGGTTTGAATGATTCAGAGAGGTTGTTTACTGATTATGTTATAAGTAATATTGAAGTTTGAAAAGAGATGATCTTGAAAATTGTCAGACAGCTTTTCCAGTGGTACAGACAGGAAAAGCAGTGAATTTCAGGTGGTTGTTTATTAGGCAGGAGCTGGTAAACATGACTGTGGCATGTTAAAAGATCTATGATCTCTTCAGGGTAAAGCTGAGTTGTGGAGTGAAGAGGGAAAGAGCACTTGACTTTTAAGTACTGATGGGGCTGTTTCCTGCAGACTCTGTGAACAGATCTGAAGGGTTTGTTTCCTGGGATGTGCATGAGGCATCTTTCACACCAGCAAACTCACTAAGGAAAAATATACCAACAAAACAACAAAAAATAAAAAAGAAAAAGAAAATCAAAATAACAACAAACAAATAAACCCAAAACAATCAGCAAAAAAACTACCTCCAAACACTCAGACCACATAAAAGTATTCCTTTCGTAGTTCTAAATGTGTTTCTTCTGTAACTGCTTGATTTAGTGACTTGGAAAGTTTTGAGTGTGAGATCCAGGATATTTAATTTTCCTGTGGTCTGCTAATTGTCATGAAACTGAATGCTCTGTAGCAATACCCTCTGCTTCCAATATGGAGGAGTGTGTCTGTGAAAAAAACACATTATGTTATCATTCCTTCTTATTTACAGCACTTTTAGTTTTGGAAAACCAAGACCTGCAAGATTCGATTAAGCCACAGAAGGTAGCGTTCCATTCGTTAAATTTCAACACCACTTTGCATTGGCAGCCTGGGTGGGCCAGAGAGGCGAGAGATGCGCGCTACTTTGTGCAGTATAAAGTGTAAGTACTGGGGCCTCCCACTGTGCTGGGGCTTAGCCCTGCTGGGCACATCAAAATGATTTCTCAGGTGACAGGATGTTCTCATTCCTGGGGAACAGCCATGTCCTGCTTGGCTGCCAGCTCTCAGTTGTTTCTGCGCTTATCAGTCCCATAAGGTGCAGGCAAGGAGCATGAGTCAGGCAAGGAATAAGCACCCCCAGCACTATGCTCTGCACCCTCATTGCATTAAGGATTTGAAACAAAATGTAGTTTTCAGGGGACCTCTGAAAGTCACTGGGTCCAGCCACCTGCGTCAAGCAGGTCTGGGTAGGTCAAGTTCTTCTGTAATAGAACATTTTAGGTATTTTGGTGGCCTACCTTTCCCATGGCACTGCCTCAGGGTGCCTTGCCTGGAAAGATGGAGGCAACATTAGGGGCTGGTCTTTGGGGTCTGCTTCCATCCCTGGCACACTGGTGAGTGCCTGAAATCATTATTGCCCTTGAGAAATTGGTTGGTGAAATCCAGCACTCTGCCCATCATTGAACGCACTGGCTAAGCCAAAGCTTGCCCACCTCTCCCATGGGGCAACTGAGAGGTGGCTTCCTACAGGGCTGGTGACCCATATCTCTGCTTTAGATTTCTTCCAGAAAAGACAGAACCTGTAGCTCCCTAACACCCATGAGGTCAGCCTGCCCTGTTAACAAATTGAAAGCAGTTAATTTCCATGGCAGGACACTTGTCAGTGCCACGAGAATAAAACAGATGGCTAAGAATCTGCGTGGACACAGGCAGCGATCCCTGAAGATTACATCCCTCCTCCTTTTTCACCATAGGTATGGGCAGAGCACGTGGCAAAACAAAGACGAGTGCTGGGGGATTTCCAGCCGTGTCTGTGACCTAACACACGAGACCTCTGACATCCAGGAGCCTCACTACAGCAGAGTGAGAGCAGCCCTGGCTGGTGTCTATTCCGACTGGAGCCTCAGCTGCAGATTCACTCCTTGGCGAGAGAGTAAGTGCAAGCATACGTGTCCCCCAGGAAGGAATTCCATCTTCTGTGGCATGGAATGCATCATTTCTGCTCACAGCTTGCAAACATGAGTAATTCTTTTCTAGCCACAAATCTGTACATAAAGAAGTGAGCCAATGGCTCTCAGGTGAAGTGTTGTGCCAAAGTAATTCTCCATACACTTGAAAGCCAAGGAATTATGCCTAAGTAGCCATTTACCAGTAATTAGGAGATCAAAAGATCCTTTTAATTCAACCTCTTCCTCTGAGGATGGAAATACACAAATTAATTTCAGGCATTTTTGGAGCTGCTGGAAGGACAGGACTCGAGACAATAAAAAAGGAAGCATTTTTTCTTTGGGGGGAGGAGAACAGAGCTGTGTGGTGTGTAGCCACTGTTCGTCTCACACTTATGTATTATCAGGACTGCAGAAAAGGACGTAGAAAGGGCATGTGCAAAGCTTTTGGTTAGTACTGTCATTATAGTGCCACAGTATGTTAGAAATGGAAGACTGCCCAAACTGAACAGTAGCAGTCTCCTCACCAGTAAGTTCACCATGAATTAACCCATTTTCCCTCACTGGCTAATGCAAAATCAAAATCAGTTCACAGCCCTGAAGTGCCAACTACCTTGAGCCTCCTGCACAGGTGAAACCACAAGCTTTGACACAGAGCAGTGCCTTGCAGCAAAACCAGAGCATCTTGCCCTGTGCCACCTCCTCCTCCTCCAGGAGAGATTCGTGTGGCAGCTGCTGCCCTGTGTTCCCACATTTCTGGTGCTGCACACACGTGCATGCAGACACTAGCTTGAAGCCTTAGCTGTGTTTAACCAAGCTGACTGCAAAATATTTGAAAGTAATGATGTAAACTGCATCCTCAGCGTAGCTGAAATGGTTCAAATGGAATTTTTGTGCAGTCCAAGCACAAAGACAAATACAAGGGAAAAAGAAATTCAGGGCAATTTTGGAATTCTGCTTGACCAGTCAGCACTTAACAACATCAGCTCTAAGGGATTTCAAAAAGTTTGGCTCAAACATTTACAAACACTGGAAATGTCACCTCCAAAATAACAATAACCAAACCAAATAAACACCAAGAAGTAAGAATTTACTAAGTGTCACTTGAGGAGTAAATACAGCATAATATATTATTGGTAACATAAGAATTTGTTGAATGGATTCAAATTGCATTCTAGGAAATATTGTTAATAAACTATAACTGTGTTTATAGCTTTGGGTTTCTTTTTTCATAGCTATGATAGGACCTCCAATGGTAACTGTGGTCCATAGCAACAAATCCATAACAGTAAAGCTCCAGGCTCCACGTTCTCCTTATAAAAGGAAAAGAGGCAGCAAAATACCAATGACAAATTATTATGATCTGCTGTATCAAGTCTTCATAATCAACAATTTGCTAGATGAGGTAAGAATATATTCAGATATGAAACCTTTACCATTGAAAAGCAAGAAAAATGTTGGCATACCATACTTGTTTTACTGTTGAAACAGTCTTCTGGGATTGTGGGAGCAGCGATGACTGTGCAAGTGTTTGAAAACAAAGTAGGCTTATTTTTCAGGAATTGAATTTGGTTTGAGTTGTAATTCCTCCCTGTATTATTTTCCATCAACTTAATACTTCATAATCTATGACCTAGATTAAAAAATTGGGACAGGAGAGGAATTGGGAGGGAGGGGGAGGGAGGGAATTTTCTGTAAAAAGCATAAATAAGTTATTAATGCTGTTGAGTTTGTGTAAGTCCATGTGCTGTTCTGCATGCTCTGTTCTCATCCAGCTTTTCTCACAGACACACTTGCAAGGGAAATGTGCCTGACTGGCTCTTTTTTCTCCAATCTGTGCGAAGCACCACAGGGTCCTGGTGTATGAAGGGAAAGACAAGGTTATTAAAATACAAGATTTGAGGCCTGGAGTCAGCTACTGCATCGTGGCTAAAATGTACATGCCAATGCTGGACCACAGCAGTGCCTACAGCAGCAGGCAATGTACTGTGCTTCAGTGACAGGGCTGGCACCTGTGAGACAGGTAAGTCACTGGCTGAAACCAGAGAGGACTCTGGAAGTCCCCTCACCAAAGGCAGATATTCTCCAAAAGTAGAGAAAAAATTGTGTCATAGAAACTGCCATCCCACAAGATGTTATCAGCTATAATACTTACATAATCTCAGAGACACACCAGGTAGAGAATGATAAGGCCAAGATGATTAGAGGAATGGGATAGATAATTTGCATGCTGGCACTGTCCTCACAAGTATCTGCTTCTTCCCTTCTTCTAAACAGTTGTACGTAGTACAGTTAAAAACAGTTATACATAACATGGCTTTCATGAATTTTTTTCTGTCAAGTAATAATTAATTAGAAAAATGAGTGACCTCCAACTTCATTATCATGCAATTCTTCTGCAAGCTCTGCCAGCCTTTTCTGCTCAGGAGTTGATCTAATGGATTAGTTAAAATGAGCCTGTTCCCTTTTCATGGCCACTTTTCAGTGTAGTGTGTTTAAAAATAAATCAGTTATCAAATATCATTAGTTCCCATGGGCCAAAATGCAAGAATTATCTCCACTAGCTGATCTGAAAAATCTGTTTTTTTACTTACATCAACCACTAGACTACTGTCACATACCATATGCCTAGTCAAAAGATTTGCTATCAATCCTGCCTTGCAGGTGGAAAGACATGGAGAGTACAGACCTAACCCAAACTTGACTTCATTGGAATTGGCCTTAGCAAGTTCAGATTTGGTGTAACAGAGGAAAACTGGAAAAGTATCAGTTTTAAGCTGGGCTTCTGTTCTCAGTTCTGTACCCTGAAACCATAGAAGTTTTCTTTTCTTCTGCTTCATAATATGATACATATCATTGGTGCCTCTTGAGTTTTGGTTAGTGGGTCTAGGGGACTTTCCTGTATTTTTTAGTTCCTTTCCCTGTACTGTAAAGAGCTGGAAACTCGGGTTAGAGCTGTTCTTCCAAACAGCCTGCAGAGGTATAGGACAGATGCAGGTGAATGTCTTGAATGTCAGTCCAGTTTAATACCACCCAGCTTAAATGCACATGCCAGCAGCAACTCTCTTTATCTTCCTCATTGCAGGGGTAATGGCAGAAGATTCCTTCCATCACAGGTCCAGCTGTAAATCAACATCTGCTCTCTATGTCTGGAATACATACTTGGATACTTTTTAAACTACATTGCTGCATTAAATTATTTGATTCATCACAATCATTTTATGCTACATGAAGGTCAAGGATTCTTTGTATGTCCCATATTACAATTTATGATGGTATATATTTGCATTTCCAAAAGAAAAAGGCTTGTAATATAAAAATAAAACCATGGAAAAGTCTTTGTGGAAATATCCTTAAGATTTCTTCTAGGGGTTTTGTATTTTAAGTCTTGAAATTAAAATACAGTCTATAAAATAGAAGATTCAGATATTTTGTTTTATACAATGACTACAACAGAAAATTTAAAAAGTGCCCTTTCTTTAAAATAATAAATGTGAAATACAGGAGTAATTCCATGCTCACAATACCCTCAACATTATATTTCTGACAGTGAAATCAGTATGTGGAGGGCCAGTGGTATCCTGGGGTACACTGGGAAGAGGGTGGCCAGCAGGTCAAGGGAGATGGCCCTGACCCTCTACTCAGTCCTGGTGAGGTCACATCTGGAGAGCTCTGTCCACTTCTGGGCTCCTCAGTACAAGACAGTACAAGATGTGACTGGGGAGGGTCCAGTGGGGAACCACAAAGAAGATGAGAGTTTTGGAGCCTCTGTTTCATAAGAATCATCTGAGGAAGTAGAGTCTGTTAGTCTAGAGGAAAGAAGACAGAGGGGATGGCATTACTGCATGTAAATATCTCAAAGATGTAAGAGACTCTTTTCAGCGGTGCCCAGTGGGAGCAAGGAGGAGCAATGGCCATAGAACACAAGAACTTTCACCTCAACATGAAGGAAAGCTTCTTGACATTGAGGGTGGCGAGCGCTGGAAGAGGCTGCCCAGGGAGGCCATGGAGTTTTCCTCTCTGGAGATATTCAAACCCCCCCTGGACATGTTCCTGTGTCACCTCTAGGCAGCCCTGCCTGGGCAGGGGGAGTGGCCTGAATGATTTCCAGAGGTTAGATAGACCTAAGGATTCTATGATTCTGTGACCTCTATTTTAGCCATTTCGCAGTAAATGGTGACTGAATGCTGACCATTACCTGTGATTTCTAGTGATTTTAGCCCTTAATCATACAAGGGAAAAAATTGCTTGGGCAAGGTCTGGGTAGTGACTCACTAAGCCACACCAGGAGGGAGAGGTGAGATAGCTTTTGAAGATCTGCAAGGTCTGTAAGTAATAAGAATCTTAGTACTTAACTATGTTCTGTTATTGTAGATTAAATGAGAGGAGGTGAGAGTGGCCCAGACACAAGAGGGCAAAGCAAGCCCTGGGAAAAATGGAGGCCCCAGCCACATAATCACTATCCACTCTTTCCTTAATCCACATACACAAATGTGGATCAATTCAGTTTAAGTAACAGACCCTGAGTTCTCTTAAGGCACATCCAAAGCATTTTTCACTAGCACCTCCCCTGGAGGCATCAGAGCTGAGAGCTGCATCAGGATGCTGGCAGTAGGCACTTGGGAAGAGGCTGTGTTTAAGGAAGTTAATGCTGCTGCCTCTTGCCATTAATAAAATGAGAGATCATTACATAATAATTATTTACACCACCTGATTCTAATACATTATATATTTGAACAACTAGGTTTGCAGACATCCAGCCATCTAGTCTCCACACATCTAGTCCATAAAACTAGGTTTCTTTCACCACATTTCCCTTTTTCCTCCTTTCTCAGTTCTTCCAGTTGCTTTGCCCACTCATATCTCACAGTTTCTTTATTTAGGAAAGGGTTTTTTTTGAGAAGCAGCCTTTAAATCTCTGTGCAATACCTTAAATCTCCCTGCAATACCTCTGTGCCAAGACTAGTGTGAGATCCTGCTGTCTGTCTTGCATTGGCCAGAAAAAGTGTCCAGGGAAACTATTAAGGAATAGTCTATTTTGTATTTCAGTGGTGGGTTATAACAGCCTTCATCAACTTGTGGGTTATCACAGCCTGAAAACAGCACCTGTAGTAGCTGAAGTTCTTTCTCAAATTCACTTATTTCCTTAGGGCAGCTTGTGTTGCCATTGTTACACAAAGATAAAGCTTTATCAGAGAACAGATTCTGACTGTGGGTACAGATACCCATGTCAGATGCAGAGCATAAAACTGTTCTGTAGAAAACATAACAAAAACAAAAAAAAAAAAAAAGAGAGAGAGAGAGAGAGGAAAAAAAAGAGGCAGAGCCATAGGAGTACCTGAAGCATTCAGACCTAGCTAGAAATATAGCAGCTGCCATGTGATGGATCTTTGAAGACATTTGAAATCTGAAAGTTTTTCAGTTTGATGAAATGATGAAAAACGTGCAGCATGTGTGCTGGGAAAAACAATAAAAGATCTGAAGAAGTCTTGCACAGTTTTTTGCTGGGTTGTGGGCTAACCAGATATCACTTCCTCAGCAACAACACAGCCTTACAGAAAGCAGTGCAAGAGTTGCAGGAATTCACTTCCATTCTGACAGTACCATGATTTATTACTGCCAACCCCATGATGTTCTGCAACAGCAAATTTTCCCTTTCCATTTGAAATGCAAATTTTCTTTCAGTGCTGTTCTGACATGTAATTTTACTGTGGAAGGGTTTGGTAGAACGACTGGTGCTGTATTTTTTTCTCCCTGAAGGCTGCATGATCTGCACTCACAGCTTCTAGATAGACTTGGTAATACTGTAACTTAAAAAAACTTATTTATGTGCCATAGGCTGCATGCTGCACGGCTATTCACAACTCCACAAGGGTGGAATGGAGAAAGAGTTCTCTTAACTATAACTGGGACTTTCCTGCTGACAAGTTTGGAATTACCTGGAAGAGTGAGTTCTAGCCCTTCATTCTCCTCCTCCTCATGGGCACAAGCAAACCACCTGCTGTGAGTCCACATCTCTAGGACTGCCCAGGCTGGCACACTGCTCTGCAAGAGGTTGCACACCATTCAGTTCAGGATGCTCTCACATTGTTGGCTTGGCTCCTTCTCGCAAAAAGTTTACAAGACCCAGCTGAAAATACTCGTCCCTTGTTTTTTTTTAGTCACTTACACAGCAGGCATTTTCTAAGTGCCAAGTGCCAGCTTCTCTTTCAGGAAAGAGAGGAATGCTGACTTCTAGGCCATGGCACTGGGAAGGAAAGACCAAGTGTAATAAAAGCAGGACTTGAGTGTTCTGTGAACTCTCACCTGCCACATTGCTGACGGATGTCTGCAGTCACAGCCACAGCCTGACACAATGGCCTCATCTGGCCAAGCTTCTCCGTCGCCGCCGAGGGTCCTGCCAATGAGAAATAGATATTGTTCCTTTTAGAGTTTGCAGTTGTAGATTTTGTTGTGAAGTGGAACCCATCCCACAGGGGCCTACCCTTCTGTCTTTCATGACTTTGCTTGAACATATCAGATCTGCCAGATGGAATAAGAGCTTATCTCCTACAGTAAATGGACTTAACTTCCCATTCTGCTGGCACTCAGAAGAGCTTCCAGAAATTCAAGAATAGGCCTCCAGAAAAGCTGATAGAGCAACAGCAATGAACCAGATGCTCCAGTCTTATAAATTAGGGAAGGATTATGCACAGCCAGCTGGACCATATAAACACCCAGTTTTATAGGATGCCATGGTCCTTGGTGTTTATCATATGGTGCAGCATCTGGGCAGCCCCATTCACACCTCCCATGTATCTGCTTTAAATCTGGGCTTTACACACTCCCATGGCCTGATCTCAGCTAAGAAACACTTTGTGGCCCAGGGTGGGGCTATGTTCTGAAATGACATGGCTTTTGCCACAGATCTGTTAGACATCAGCAGATATTCCAGAGTCCAGGAAATTAATCATAAATAGCTGGGATTTTCTCTGGATTTCAAAGTTTGCTACACAGATCA